TTGCAAAGATTCCTGAGTTTGCTGGTACTCAACCAAGAGAGATTGATCACTGTAACTGTTTATGATTTCAAAATCTATGTTTTAACTGTTTTTGTTTCATATATATTTCAAAATGCATTCAATGCAAAATTTTTTTATGTTTTATTGAATGTAGTATGTTATCAATTTTAAAAAAATAAACTCTACTTACAAAAAAAATTTGATTTTTTTTTTTTAATATTTAGAACCCCTCCATAGTAACTATCATTGGAGGACAAAAAACAACATAAAGTTTTAATTTTAAACACAATACAATATATAGTAAAAAAATCACTTAACACCCCAACTTAACAACTACCATTGATTATGCTCTTATCCACCTTCGTTTTATGCAACACGTTCTTGTACCTTCCGTTGCTCACCCTCAGCAAATCCGTTACACATAATTACAAAAAAATATAACACTAAAAAAAAAAAGATTTCAAAAGTATAACATTAAAGAAAAACATACTAGGATCTGATCGCAATGATGACTATAATAGCGGGTGGGATATACTCGAGGTTGATCCAGTGATCGTCCTTGAACACTTGAAGTCCGGGAACCTCATTGGGTAGGATGAGTGTGAACCCATTAACATCGGTGTGTGGATCCAATCCCTGGAACGAATCGGAATGTGGACATGGCGGATAGTAGTTGACAAGCATCATATACTCGCCCATAACTTCCTTAACAGCCTCACGCCGTAACCCCAATCCCTCTGATAAGCACTCCATAATCTTCTCTGATAGCATCATTAATTTTTTAGTGTACTCCTCGTTCACTTCCCTGAACCAAAAATTTGAAGGTTGTAATCTCTAAATTCTCTTTTTAATACAAAGTAATGAATAACATATTTAAGGCGACTTGAAACCCATTGATAATGAGTGAATGAATATGTAAGTTTTACACAATGGTCAGTGTAGAAGAGATCTCTATTTGATAGTGAGTGAATTGATTGGATTTGATCGTACCTGTAATCTAGAGGATTAGTAGGCCAGTATTTATAGTTCACAGAGGACGGTGGCCAGATATTGTGAGAGAGCTGATCGACCGTACCTATTTTGTTCTCTAGTATCTAATTCGTATCTCCTCGCGTATCCTTCACGGGAGTCAGATGGTTTCGCCACGGCTTCTTTCTCCGCATCAGGGAGCTCGAAGAATTGCTTCCCGACATTCTGCAAACGTTGTATCAACTCCGTGGGGATTTCATGATTGACCACCTGAAAAACCCCCCATTCTTCGCTCGCTTTCACCACCGCACGCGCCACTAGCTCTTGATCGGGATTGCTTAGGTCCACCACTGGTATGTGTGAAGACGGTATGTCTTGGTCTCTCTCAAGCACCATCTTGTCAGGAATCAATGGCGGATTTGTTGATAGACGATTAACTATTGGACATGGTATTTAAAAAAATGATTAGTGGGAGTGGGACGTGAGGATTAGGGGGGAGTTAAGTCATTAGTCACAGACTCAAGATATATAGATTAACAATTGCTACTTCTGAATTTTATTTCATTAATCAAAGACTGGCATATTTCATTTACATGAGTAGTAGGTACTTAGGTAAGCAATACACAAGTTGATCTTAAACAAAACACAAGTTTTGATGAAATTTTAGTATTCATAATAAATTGTATTATTTCAAGTGATAATTCACATGTGCGCACGCTAATAAGTTTTGGAACACAGTGTTACATTATAATAAAACATTTAATTACGGAGTTGTTGCTGGTGCGGTTGAGCCACCGCAGCGGAACACTCGGGTTTATCCCACCCTCCCTGAGCCGGCCGGGAAATAGCCATCATGCCTTGTGGTTGCATCCTCTGCATGCCCTATGGAAATATTGGTCTTGGCATCGATCCATGAGCGGATTGATGCTTAAGGGAAATTTCTAAAATATCAGTTGTATGAAGTATTCACAATAATATCATGTTGTGGTATTTTTGAATTTTTGTGTGTTTTGGGATAAATCTCAATATAAATCTATCTATATATTTTTTTTGTTTAACTCAATCTAACTAGTAATGACAAAAGATAGCAATATATTTATTTCAATAATGTACCGCAATTTTTCTTTTCTATAAGCATCCTCAATATATATTATATGAAGAGACATTAGAGAAAAAAATCTTAGGTGTCAATCAAAAAGCAATTTAAGGGATAGATAATATAATTAAACCAATCAAAACATTTCAGTTAAAGTATATACTATAGTGGAAATTCTCTACCTATCCTCACTAATTTTTAACATAAACTCATCAATACATGTTTTAAATTTTTAAACTCAACTAAATATAATATTTTAGACTTACCATAACATCTATATTCTGATATATTAACAAGCTTTTTATTATTATATTGTGTATTTAATTGAGATGGATAGGGATGGCATCCCATCATCGATTTCTTTGAGAACAGTAGCGAGCCTTGTCGGACCTAGC